AAGAGTCAATGTGCATTCTGGGACTACTCATCTAACACAATGAATGGAAGCTGGTCTTCAGAGGGCTGTGAACTCACATTCTCCAACAAGACCCACACCTCCTGTCAGTGCAATCATCTCACACACTTTGCAATTTTGATGTCTTCTGGTCCTTCCATTGTAAGATAGTGTTCTACTCTGTATGTTTAAATCTGTTTACATTTTTTAAATTTTGTCCTATGATATTCAACAAAATTATTTATCTGTGTGAGTCCATGGGTTTAAATAATATATGTATTCTGCTTTTTAAAATACTAAAATTATCTTTCTTTTTAGTCCTTGATTTTCACATGTCTTCAAAGATAAATTTAATCTAAGGTTTGGGTTAATGTAGAATTTATGCAAGCAGTATCCAGCAGATTGCTCGCTAAATCAAATACCCATGTATTGATCATTCAGTGTAGTTTCTAAGGAATATCTCTCTTTTAATATATTACCAAATTTTAGGGCCTTGTTTTTTGTAATGTAATATTATTTTTAACAGTACAAAGTATCTTAAAAAATTGGATATTTGGGAGCTCTGGTGGCCTAGTGGCAAGAAGCTACACTGCAATCCCAAAGGCACACGGTTCAAATCCATCAGATGCTCTGCTGGATAAGAAGGGGCAATCTCCTCCTGTACCAGTCAGACTCGATTTGACGGTACACACACACACAGTGTAATAAAATTTTAAAAAATGGTTATTTGTAAAATATTTGAGTGACATAGAATCTTATTAACTTGCAAGTTTGTTTCTCCTTATGCTAAGAGCCCCTTATGAAGTCTAGAAAATGCTCAAATATAGTAGCATCAATTTTAAAGGTGAATTTTTGCTGAATGTTAATGGGAAAATAAACCTCTCTGCTCTCTCCATTTGTGTGTATGTGTGTGTATCTCATATTCATACATATAATATTCATAAGGTCACTATAAATAGATATGAGCAAAATAAGTCACAATTGATTTGACAGCAGTGGGTTTAGGTTTTTGAGAATGAACACACACACACACACACACACACACACACGTGCATCTGAACCAATCTATAGTATCTTCATTTTCTCCATATACATACAAAAGTTAAACAATGAATAAGGAATTTCAAAGAATAATTAATGATTTTGAACTTTCATATCAAAAAAGAATATTGACTACCTTATGAACTGCCTAAAGAATAAACAAATCTTTCTTGGATGAAGTGCAACCAGATTAATCATTATAGAGGAGGAGAGAGAAACATAGTCTCAATCCTTTGAGCACATTGCTAGGTGGAGTTAGTTCTTGAAAAACACATCATTCTAGGTAAAGTATAAAGTCAGCAAAAGAGAAGGAAATCCTCCATGAAATAGATTGATACAGTGAGTTCAACAATGGGCTTGTATTAGCTGAGATTGTGTGTGGATGGTACAGAATAAGGGCAGGTTGTTCATAGGATTACTATGTGTCATGATTGACATCACCTCTTCTAACAATGACAACCGTGTGTGTGTGTGTGAGTGTGTGTGTGTGCACATACATGTGTAATATATATAAATAATACTCATATGTCTATCTTTTATCGATATATGATAAAACTAATCAACCTTGGCCATTTCAAAATCTCTGAACTATACTGTTTTGATATTCCATGTGTATGGCAGTTCTAATACCTTTGTTTAACATACTTTATATGAATTACTTCTAGAAATAATATTCATTTTTTCCATTGATAAATCTTCTTTAACCAACCATTTCACATTGCAATAACGAATTACCTTTCTAAAAGAATGAAATTGATGATGAAAACATTGTTAGACTATATACTAACATATACTGTGTCTAGAAAAAAATTTATTAACACTAAATTATTTTTTATATCAGATTTCTCTGGATATTGAACATTTTAAAAAGTATAAAATTTTCTCATCTCAATACACATTTGTATTTTTACATTTTATGAGAGTTTTGATTAATATTTCACCCAAAAATGAAGTTCATTATATATTGTAGTTCCTCTGCCAACTAACTTGCAGAGTTATTAACAGCTTTATTATTATTTTCCCCTAGGGTATTAAAGATTATAATATTCTTACAAGGATCACTCAACTAGGAATAATTATTTCATTGATTTGCCTTGCCATATGCATTTTTACCTTTTGGTTCTTCAGTGAAATTCAAAGCACCAGGACAACAATTCATAAAAATTTATGTTGTAGCCTATTCCTTGCCGAACTTGTCTTTCTTGTTGGAATCAATACAAATACTAATAAGGTATGTAGATCATCTTACTCACTTTGTGTTTTCTAAATTTGTACCTTGATAAAGATATATTTTGAAATGAAAACATGAGTTGTAATTAAAGATACAATGAGTCAAACTAGTCAAATACTAAGTGATTTGTTTTTAGACAGTCTTTTCTAAGTCTGATAATGTTGCATATCTAAGCAATCTAATTATATCTGCTAACCAAAATGCTCCTCATTACCACAGATTATTGAGACAAATTAAAACCTTGCAACAAATTGATGGAACAGCTTTTAAAATTTGTTTTATGCTCAGAAAAGCTACAAACACAGAGAAGATGAATATTGGGAATGTTAAAAATTGAACTTTAATACAGATAGGATATTGGGATGAAATATGATTAGCTTATTGTATCATTCACTTATCTTTTCATAACCGCTAATTTCAACCTATTTTTTATCTAATTTTTTAACAAGTAGTTACCATATTATTTTAGGGAAGATCCTTCATGAAGTTGATGCTAAGAAAGGATAAATATACAATAAATTTATTAATGGAAATGCAATGAGCAAAAAATGGGAAGAGAGAGACTTGGAGATCTGTTAGACCAAGATGCAGGAATGTCTCTAACTGAAGGAATAATGGAAGAAAGAATGTACCTTTAAGGAGTATCAGCAAAGTTGCCAGAGACTCTTTGAGTCTTTTGGGAGTCAGTGTGAAAATCACCTGAGAATTGTCATGTCACCTGGGAACTCTGCTATGCTTAGTCATGGTCTGTGGGAGTTTAACAATTGGCTTGAGAGTATAGTAGCTGAAACCATGGGTCAATTACACTCTGCATTTAGAGACTAGAGGAGCGTATCCTTGTGACTACAAAAATACTGAGTTGCTTCCGTATCTCTATTAGAAATTTCTCAAGTATTGCAGCTATCAGTTATTAAGATTTTTCTTGCAGAAAATTCCCACAAAGCACATATTTAAAAAATATTTGCTAGATGATCACTTGTTTATTTTTTAAATTATTATACTAGTTTATTTACAAATTTGAATACATTGTTTTCCAGACAGATGCTTCCAATTTCCCTCACCCCCCCATCAAATTATACAACCCCATGATTAATCCCCATCTCCCCTCGAATAGTCTCATCCCTCTGCTTCCACCCTCCTCCCCCCTGGATCCTTATAGTCATTCTACAATAATGGTTTTATACAATATTTGTCCTTTTGGGACTGAGTTAGTTCACTCAGCATAGTGTTCTCCAGTCCCTCTCAAGTTAGGTAATTATTTACAAAATCTTTACTCCTGTGTGCTGCATAGTATTCCATTGTGTGAATATAATTTCTCAATCCATTTGTTTGTGGTTGGACATCTGGGCAGTTCGCATGTTCTTGGGATGGTGAATAACACTGCTAAGGACACTGGTATACAAGTCTCCGTTTGTGCCTCAGTTCTCATTTTTTCAGGGTATATTCCAAGTAGTGGAATAGCTGGGTCATATGGAATTTCTATGTTCAGCTTTTTGAGGAAATGCCAAACTGCCTTCCACAATGGTTGCACCATTTTACAATCCCAGCAACATTGTATAAGAGTTCCTTTCTCACCACATCCTCTAAAACATCTATTACTTTCTGTCATGTTAAACTTTGCCACTTCTACTAGAGTGAAATGGTAGCTCATCATGGTTTTGATTTGCATCTCTCTTATTGCCAGTGATTCAGAGCAATATACACTATTTTAGCTTGTTAGGTAATAGACATCAGGCACTACCTTGAAACATTCTAAATCCCATGGAAGCACATTGCTCACCTTTCTCCCTTGGATTGGCTGGCAGATTTGAACCATATACTTTTTGATTGGCAGCACAACTCCTTACCATTAAGCCACCAGTGCTCCCTTAAAAATCCCACCAAAACAAACGATAAAAACAAAAAGTATTTTCATTGAGTCAGAATTGATTCATAGATAAGTTATTGATCCAGTGCATTTGCAGAGACCATAGATTGTATAGGAAGAGATTGCCCATCCTTGTCCTGTGGATCCGCTGATGGATTCAAGCGACCCACTTTAAGGTTAGTAGAGCAACTCCCTACTGACTAGGTGATAAGACCTCCTTACAACAAAGATCCTTATTTTTTTCTCATTGTTTTTGAGTAAGAAACATCTCATAGTTGAATCTCCAGCAGGTTTTCAGAGGCTGTAAATTTCATGGGAGAACATTGCCCATCTTACTCCCACAGATCAGCTACTGGATTTGAACCTCTCAGCTTTGGGTTTGTAATGCACCTCCTTACCCAGTAGGCCACACCAAAGCTCTCTAAAGCACATAGAAGCATGTGATGATTTTATTTCTTATAAGATTAACTTTAAATAATTACAAATTATATGTCACTGAAGCCGATTTGAATTTACGTATTTTAATTACTACTTTGTATCTATTTTATAAACCTCTTTTCACTCTGATGGTCTAGCCAAAGGGATTTGCTCTGTAACCTTAAAGACCACCATCCTGGTGGTTTGAACCCATTAGCTATTCTGTGGGAGAAATATGTGTAGTCTACTTTCATGTAATGAAACTCACTGGAGAGTCAGCTGAGAGTCAGTTTGGTTGTGAAGGCAATACATTTGAGGAGCTTTTAAAAAAAATATTTGTCACCTAATCAGAAATCATTATGTTGTTCAGTATGAAATGAACAATAATTATCATAAAAGGGGGGAAAGCCATTACCAAAATAAAAGCCATATTGTTATTGTCATTATATACCTTTGAGTTAGAAATGACTCCTAGCTCACCCTCCAGTGGATTTTCAGAGGCAGTAAATCATACAAGGAGGAAATTGTGCATATTCTTCCTGTGGAGAACCTGGTGGATGCAAACCAGGGGCATTTTGGTTGGCAGTGCAACTCCTTACTACTAAGCCACTACAGCTCCCTAGAAACCAATTTATAGCATAAAATACTCACCAAAGTTTCTAGGTTTACCTCTAAATACTCCATACATTATTGCATAAAACAATGTATAAAAATGACAAGTCACAAAAACTTAACTTTATTATAGAATTCATGGGTTTTCGTATTGATAAAGCTCAGTTCTTTGCAATCAGTTGCATATAGTGAATTGTAAACTTTTAACATTTGACACAAATGTATTCATATGATTAAGAGCCCATTGAACGGCATCATTTAGAGAAAAAACTCTCTAGTTTATGTTGTGATTATTTCAAATCACGTGTTGCTAATGGCTTATTTTTCTTTCATTTTTAGCTCTTCTGTTCAATCATAGCTGGGCTGCTACATTACTTCTTTCTAGCTGCCTTTGCATGGATGTGCATTGAAGGAATACACCTCTACCTCATTGTTGTGGGAGTTATCTACAACAAGGGGTTTCTACACAAGAATTTTTATATCTTTGGCTACCTGAGCCCAGCTGTAGTAGTTGGATTTTCAGCAGCATTGGGATACAGATATTATGGCACCACCAAAGTGTAAGTTTAAATCATTTCTTGATCAGAAATGTAATTTTTAATGTTCTCTCATATAATTGAGAATTTTATTTTAGTGAAGTATACACAAAAATATTCATAGGTTATATGTGTTACATACTTTTCAGGTGTTGGCTTAGCACAGAAAACAACTTTATTTGGAGTTTTATAGGACCAGCATGCCTTATCATTCTTGTACGTATGTATGAAAATCTTACTTGAGTTTAAAAAATGGTGAATAAAAATATTTAAATTCCCAGAAATCACATATTATCTTTTGAAGGAAAACAACTACGATGACTTTAAAGTATTTACTTACTATTATTTTTCACTTATTGTATTGTTATTGCAAAACACACTTGTATCCTGGACCTTTATATCCTGAATTCAAAGTATAATGGTTTATTTCCTCCTCTTAGAGGAAGATCGATTTCTGCATAAAGTCTGGGGTTTGTTTATATGGTGAAAAACTATTTTCTATTTATCAGTAGGATCTCAGCATACTTCAATACTGAGCGTGTGCCAACAAGCTGATAATCTGGCATTTTAGATGTTTATGTTATTTAATCTTTTATCGATGATCAGTCATCTTTGAAGATTAGACTGTCATCTTTATAGTTTTATGATCCTTCTGTACCCTGTCATCATGAAAGTGACTTTAAACTAAATTGCGACGTCAGAGACAAGAACCTACTATTTCTTATGAGCAGACAAGTCATATATTGATAGTCCTATTTCAGCAAGGAAAAGGCTTTTTAATTCTTATTGGAAGTGGTTTCAAACCTACAAATTTGGCAGGTATTATATGTTCCATTCTAAATAAAGACACTTTTATATGTCTCCAGAGCATTTCTAAATGCTGTACATTTCCAACAGCTTTTCTGAGTATAATAGCCTGTCAATGAATCTAGGAAATACGACAAGACTCGAGAATGGACTGAATTGTAGGTACAGGTGTTTTGACAATATTTTGAAGAACTTGGTCCCATATGTATTGACCACAAATTGACAATCTTTTTAAAATATTCTCATTTGTTTTGTTTTACTTTGTTTCCTTTTTCTTTCACACCCTTTTCCCATGAGTTCTTTATCATCTTTAGGTAGTTGCTGAATGAAGAAATACTTCATTTGCAAAGGAGAAAATTTTTATGAAGCTTTATTATTTTTAAAAGCAGTGGCAAAATAAAATATGCCTAAAACTAAAACTCTTAATCATTGCAGAAAAAAAGTTTGTATTTTCACATTGATTCTACCAATATGAAAAGAAACCATTCACTAAAGTTCAACTAAAAAACTTCAGACATGATGTATTATATTCTCAAAATTTTCCTCTCACTTAAGTCTACTACCTAAATGGTTCTCCACTCATATATTGTCATCTCCAAGATTTAACTGAATATTATATATGAAGGAATTTACATATTCTGATTTTACTTTTTTCAGACTTATAAAGGGATAATCTCGCATATTATTTCTTACCAGTGACAGTTATATAGAACAGTGGTTTTTGTGGTTTAGATGAATATAACAGAATAGAAATTATACTGAATATGTTGGAGAAAACAGCATATTCATCTAAAGTAAGAAGGAAGAATTATTTCCTACAATTGGTATTAAATAGTTGTTTCTGTAAGGGAGTAGATAACTTTACATTATTTATAGTACTATCTACAGATTTTATATGGTGGTGTTTTTATGGTTATGAGTCTTTAAGTTGATTATGACTAATAGCAACTATGAAAAATGGCTCAGAAGCTTTCATGATCCTGACCATACGGTTTCCAACATACCTGACTCCATTTCCATAGTCACTGTGTCAGTCCATCTCATACAAGCTGGAGAAGCTCAATATCAGCTGTGAAAACTAGGCCGGGGGCTGATTGTGGAACAGACCACCAATTACTCATATGCAAGTTCAAGCTGAAGCTGAGGAAAATTAAACCAAATCCACAGGAGCCAAAATATGACTTTGGTTTCATACCACCTGAATTTCAGAATCATCTCAGGAACAGGTTTGAGGCCTTGAACACTAATGAGCGAAGACCAGATGAGTTGTGGGAGGATGTCAAAGGTATCATCCAGGAAGAGTGCAAACGGTTATTACAAAGACAGAAGAGGAAGAAAAGACCAAAATAGATGTCAGAAGAGACTCTGAAGATTGCACTGGAGCGTAGAGAAGCCAAAGCACAAGGAAGAATTCAAGATACTAAAGAGCTGAACAGAAGATTCCAAAAGGCTGCTCGGAATGACAAAGCAAAATACTACAATGAAATGTGCGAGGAGCTAGAGTCAGAAAATCAAAAGGGCCGAACTCACTCAGCATTTCTTAAGCTCAAGGAACTGAAGAACAGATTCAAACCTAGAGTTATTGTAATCAAGGATGCTTTGGGCAGAATATTAAATGATCCAGGAAGTATTAAAAGAAGATAGAAGGAATATACTGAGTCATTATATAGAAAGGAACTCGCAGATACAGAGGAATTTAAAGAAAGAACATATGAGCAAGAGCCTATGGTGATGAAGGAAGAAGTTCAAGCTACTTTGAAGGAAATAGCAAAAAAATAAGGCCCCAGGAATAGATGGTATACCAATTGAAGTATTCCAGATAACAGATGTTGCCCTGGATGTGCTCACCAAGCTGTGCCAAGAAATCTGGAGAACAACCACTTGGCCAGCTGACTGTAAGAGATCTATATTTGTTCCGATTCCAAAGAAAGGTGACCCAGCTGAGTGTGGAAACTACAGAAGAGTGTCATTGATTTCACATGCAAGCAAGTTCTACTGAAAATTATCCAAAAATGATTAGAACAGCACATCAGCAGAGAATTGCCGGAAGTCCAGGCTGCATTTAGAAGGGGTAGTGGTATTAGGGATATTGTTCCTGCTGTTAGATGGATCTTGGCGGAAAGCAGAGAATACCAGAAGAATGTCTATCTATGTTTCATTGATTATGCAAAGGCATTTGACTGTGTGGATCATAACAAACTGAAGCCTGCCTTATTTATCCTAGTCAGTCTCACTGACTCCAACACTTGGCCTCTTTACCCCACTTACTGTGTCAATCCATCTCATCTGGGATCTTCCTCTTCTGCATTGTCCCTCTATTCTTCTATGCATGATGTCCTTCTCCAAGGACTGGTCCCTCTTAGCAACATGACCAAAGCATATGAAACTACTTCTAAATCCTTGCTTCCAGGGAGCAACCTGGTTTGACCCTCCCTAGGTCGAACCCACTTATTTTCTTGACATTCCATGGTATCTTCAATACTCTTCTCCAGCACCACAGAATAAAGTAATTTATTCTTCTTTAGTCACCCATAGTTATTATCCAGCTCTCTGATGTGTAGCAAGTAATTGTGAAGACCATGGTCTCTAGATTGGTTATCTTTGCTTTTTAGCACTCTGGAGAGTTCTCTGACAGCAGATTTTTCCCAGTGCAATTTGTCTTTTGATTTCCTGGCTGCTTGTACCAAGAGTGTCGTTGTGGACCCAAGCAAGCCAAAATGATTAACTATCTTAATATTTTCTCCACCTATCATGGTGCTATCAATAGGCCTCATGGCAAGAATCTTTGTCTTCTTAATGTTGAGCTTCAATCTATTTGAAGATTGCAATCTTTGACTTTCTGCAGAGAACTCTTCAGGTCTTCTTAGTTTCAGGGATCAAGGTTTTGCCATTTGCAAACCAGGTTGTTGATGAGTCACCCTCTAATTCTGATGCTACATTTCTCCTCATAAAGTCCAGCCTTCTGAATGATTTGCTCAGTTTGATTGAAAAGCTATGAAAACAGGATGTATCCCTAAGGCACTCCATTCTTGATTTTCATGAAGTATTTCTTTGCTCTGTTCTGACAACTGCCTATAGTTATATCAAGTGTTCTGGGACTCCCAGTTTGTTTGTTTTTCTCAAGGTTAGCCACAATTTTTTGTGATCCATACAGTCAAATGCCTTTGTATAGTGGATAAAATACAAATGAATGTTCTTCTGGTACTCTTTGCTTTCAGCCATGATCTATCGGACATTTGCTATATGTGCCTAGTGCTACTACCTTTCCTTTTCTTTTTTTCTGGCAGTTCTCTATCACTGTACTGTGAGAGTCATTTTAGGATAATCTTCAGCATTATTTTGCCTGCAAAATATTGTTTTTGTGATGATAATATTATATTAGTGATGTTGTTGTAATCTGTCAAGTCTCCTGTGACTCATAACGATCCTATGTACAACAGCCCTAAACCCTACGCTTTCTAGTGCCAATCTTACTGTCTCCAACACACCTATCCTCATTAACCCAGACACTGAATCAATCCATTTTCAAAAAGGGTCTTCCTCTCTTGTGTTGTCCCTCTACCCTCCAAAGAATGACGTCCCTCTCCAAAGACTGGTCCCTCCTTGCAACATAGCCAAAGTATGTCAGATAAAGCTTCAGAATCCTTGCTTCCAAGGAGCAGCCTGGTTTCACCCTCTCCAGGATGAATCTGTTTCTTCTTTTAGCAGTCCATGGCATATTCAATACACTTCTTCAACACCACAGCTGAAAGGCAGCAATCTCCTCCTGTCATCCCTCCTCATTGGCCAGCTCTTTGATGTATAGCATGTGATTACAAAGACCATGGCTTTTATCAGGTACACTTTAGTCTCCAGACTGACACTGTTGCTCTTCAGAACTTTGGAGAGGTCTCTGACAGCATGCTATTGTTGGATAATTGCCACACTGTTGGATCACCTCTTTTTTTGAATGCTTATAAATATGGATCTCTTCCAGTCAATTGGACAGGTAGTTGTCCTCCAGATTTCTTGGCACAAACTGACGAGCATGGCCAGGGCAACATCTGTTTTCTGAAATATGTCAGTTGACATTCCATCAATTTCTGGGAACCCTGATTGTTGCTAATTCCTTAAGTGCAGCTTGAACTTCTCTTTTATCACAATTGTCTTTTGATCTTATATTGTTTCATTAAATTCTTCTGTGCCAGCCAATAGTTTCAGTACAGTGACTCTGTGTACTCCCTCCATCTTTTTTTGATGTTTCCTGGTTTAGTCAATATTCTGTATATTCGATATTTATAGCATTCTTATATATTGCTACAAGGGATTTGAATTTGTTCTTCAATCCTGTCAGCTTAAGATATGCTGAGCGAGTTTGTCCCCATTGATTTTCTGACCTCAGGTATTTGTGCATTTCTTTATAATACTTT